ATTTACAATTAACTAAAATCCCCCCAGATCTTTTACCCAAACCACCATTGGATAAGTTAGAGCTTCTCCAATAAACATCTGCTTAGCCACTTTCTGATCTAAAATGCAGGATTTTTATATGTGCTCCTATTTATTCAATTTTATCTAGTTGGGTTTGCTTGGCATGCCAACAAATTCTACTTGGACCCGATCCACCTATACCCTGAGAGAGGTCATTTCTCAAGACTAGTTCCCATTTGGACTAATTCACTCCAAGTTGAGAAATAGTTGAGAAATAGGAGCTGAAAAACTTTTTTCAGTTTCTGAAAAACAGGAGAAAGAGAGAAGAACAAGTTAGTTGCTGAACCTATTTTAAAGGTCTCATACTGATTTGGAATGATTTTTTTTTTTTTTTTTTGTTTAAAGCCAACACAATTTCTCATATACAACTACAACAATTTAATATTTTAAAATATATTTGTTAAAATAAATAACAATGAACATTACTGAATGGTAATCACTAATGTGTGCATTAAACATTTACCACAAGACAAGCAATGTGCTCCACGTTGTTATGCACTGTCTCCGTTAACCAACACAAACCATTCTATTAGAGAGGTGATACTGGTATACATATTTTTATCAATGAAAAAACAAAGGGGTAGAGAAGCTATTGAAAAACTTGACAGTCTATAAAGTTTTGTTGATTTTGGTTAAGAAAAGCAACTTAGGCATCATTTTGGTAATAGTTTAAAATAAGAAAATGATCTCCATATATTAATACAAAGTGGAGATGATTATTTTCTGGTCACTTCACAAGCATCTAATTCAAGTAGTTTTGCATGATTTATTATACTATCACAATTATATGATGACCACTGCAGAATATGAACAATGTGTTAAAGGAAATCATTTCTTTGGAATGGACATGACTGAAATGGATATTGGTATTCTGATTTCTATGCACTGGGGTAATCTAAACCAAAGAGACTCCCTTAGTAAGAAAATTACAGGTAAATGGATTCCTTCCTGTCAGAAATTAATTTAATTCTGGTTCAATTCTCATTCTGTTTCTATCCAGTTAAAATGGAACCATTAATTATTCATCTAGTTTATACAACAACGGCACTATTGCTGTTTGCTGCCAAATTTTATGAGATAGCTCCTTTATAAGGGTTATTTTTCTCTCTCTCTTTTTTTTTTTTTTTTAGGTTTTCCTCTGTATGGAACTAAAATGAGAACCTTTCAAAGTCCATAGGAATCATGAATTTAAAAAAAAGGAATCATGAATAAGAATAAAATGAAAAAGAAATTATTAATACCCTATTCAATAAATGTAATTAAAATGCATGGTCTTAAGTATTTTGAATCTCTGAAATAAAAATAGGAGGCAAAGAAAATAATGAAAAATTTAAGCAACCCAGAACATTATCCTTTAGTCAGAAAAGAGACTTTCTCCACTTTTTTAGTGGAGACAGTTAAGGTAAGAGCCCCACTTCTATTTGAGAAAGTACAGTATGCTCTTGAATATTACTAAAACCCACAGTGGAAGAGCAAACTGCAAGAAGACAGATACTGCTTCACTTAAAAATATATATACACTACTGGGGCGCCTGGGTAGCTTAGATGGTTAACCGTCTTGCCTTTGGCTCAGGTCATGATGCCAGGGTCCTGAGTTCAAGCCCTTTGGGCTCCCTGCTCAGTGGAGAGTCTCCCTCTGCCCTTCCCCTTGCTCTTGCTTGCTCTCTTTCTGAATAAACAAATAAATAAAATCTTTAAGATATGTATAGATTATCTACATATAATATATATATATATATATACACATACACTACTTTTATAGGTAAAACTGTATGAAAAGTGAAATACCATTGATTATTAGATAGCATGCATGGGTTTCTTTTCCTTATTCATTCACTAAGAAATATTAACAAAAGCTCGTCACTGGAGCACAATACATTACCAACCACTTGGATTTTGCAGATTGACTATATCCTCTTGCCTGCTTCCTTGTTCCTCCTAGGTTCCCTCATCTAAAATGAACTATCAAAAATAGAGTAAAAGCCAACACTGTAACAAGAGTTAATACCCTGAGTGTGTGTATTAAATATCAGGCACTGGTGAGATAAGGAAGCTTGCCAAGAACCAGAAGTAGGTTGTCCTTATTATGGATTTTCCTCTTACTCTCTGGAGACATTACATTTTAAACTAACTTTAAAAGCATAGGAGACACAAGACAAACTAGAGAAATACATGGAAAATCTAGACAAATGTATTGAAAATGCAATGAAAAAAAGGAGGGTGGGCATCGAAGATGATACTTTGGGAGCAAACAGGCAACACTCCCAGAGCTGGCTTCCAGGATGTGCAAATTGTGTAACCACAAGGGGTCCCCCACACTTTCAGGTGTTAGAAATAGAAAAATGGAAGGTACCAGTCCTGCTTTCAAGGACTGTAATTGTATATAGCTAACAGTTATTAAGCGCTAGGCGCTGCTGTTAACTTACCACATCTCATTTTCACAACAACCATATAAAGTAGGTGCTATCAGTATCTCCATTTATGGATGAGAAATCAAGGCACAACAAGGTCTGCCTTGGAGAGAGGTCACTTCTACTCAGGGAACCTGGCAGGTAGACTCCAGAGTCCAAGTTCTTAACCACTCTGGAAACTGCCATTACCTAAGGCAGGTGAGTCATCTACAAAGGCAGTTGCAGCACATTGTGATAAGGGCCTGGACTCTTGCACAGAGGCTACTGGAAAGTAAGATTGGGGTACCTGGCTTAGGAGGGCCTAGTCTGTACTCAGAAGGGCATGGCACGTGATTTAATAATGCTACCTGAGCCATTCTCTTCCCACATCCACGAATGACTCCTGCTGTCTTTTAAACTTTCTACAAACTGCCCTCTCTTCTCCATTTAAACTGCCATTTTCATTGAGTCGTCTCAATTTAAGCAGGAGCCTAACTGGCCTCCTTCCTTAAGAGTCTACCCTCAAACTACTCTGTAAGATGAATGGTTTTTCTGAATGGCCCAACTGATCCTGCATAAAATCATTTCTCTTCTTAAAATAGGAGAGTGACCTATTTTAGGTCACTAATTAGGTGGGCTAATCCAGCGACTGCCCACTCAACTATAGTGAGCATATTTACTTTGTTGCCCTAGCATCTGTACTTCCTTCAGGAACATTATTTCTCTTCTGGAAACTCCCTTACTGCCACCGCAGGCAAGCAGGTGCCTGACCCAAGCTGAGCAAATCAGAGCCTTTGGGCTCTAACAAATCCCTTGAGATTTTGTTAGGATGGCGGAAGCTGCAAGATGCAAAACCCCAATGCTGTCAACATCCATGATTCCTGCCAAGTAGGAGCAGCTGTCCACCTTCAGAGTTGGTAATAAGATAGAGCCTTGGCTCTTTTGAGTGACTGGCTCAGCTTTCGGAGGCCCAAGTGGCATCTCTACCTTTCTATCTCTTGCTTGGATTCTCTAAGCCAATAAATTCCCCAATCTGCCAGAGTTAGCCAATGCTATGTTGCTAATCCTTTGCTTACACATGACAAGGCACTTCATTTCCCAGTCCCTACGGCTCTACCTGTCTTATCTCCCCTTGTATCCTCACACACACATTCTACAATGAAACCCTTAGTATTCCACTAATTGAACAAGCTGTTTCACACCCTCTCCCTCGCACACCAGTCTCTCTGTACCCCCAGCTCCAACTCTGGAGTTATCTGTCTCCATAAAGTCCTTCCTGATTCCCCTGGTCAGAGCCAGATACCCCAACCTTGTTTTTCTAGTAGTCTGTGCAAGAGTCCAGGCCCTTATCAGAATGTGCTGCAACTGCCCTGGTAGATGACTCACCTGCCCTAGGTAATGGCAGTTTCCACCAGAGTGGTTAAAACTTGGGACTCTAGAGTCCACCTGCCAGGCTCCCCACTGAGTAGCAGTGACCTCTCTCCCCAAGTTGGGCAGACCTCTTTGTGCCTTGATTTCTCATCCATAAATGGAGATACTGGTAGCACCTACTGTATTTGGTTGTTGTGAGAATGAGATGGGATAAGTTAACAGCAGCGCCTAGCGCTTAATAACTGTTAGCCAAATAATCATCCTTGAAAGCAGAAACTGAGTAACTCCCATCTTTGTATCCCCAACATCTGGCACAGTGCCTATCCCAGAGGATGTCTAATTATTTGTTTGCTTGCCTCTTAAAGAACAAGCCAGAGGACAGGAGGACATGAATGCAACACACCTAAACGAAGCCCACAGCCCAAGTCATAATGCAGAGGTTTGGACCCAGAATTTGCCAAGGGCGCAGAAGACCAGGCCTCCCTGACCCCTTCGAGGCAGCTGCTAACTGTGGATACTGAGAAGATACTCAAAACTGATGCGGATCCTGATACTTTAGGCTTAAGGCTCTTGCAGAAAATATTCACCGATTTCACTGGAGCTCCTAATCAACATCACGCCGAACTTTGAACAACGTATTCCCTGCATTTATTTCCGGGGAAATCTCAGAAATAAAACGCTCGAGAACTAGGCTAAGACACGTACAGCCTAACCAATCTGCTACCGAGCGCACGCACTACAGGGCTTCCAGATTACACATCAGAGGGCCAGTCACTGCCACTTAATGATTCTCATAATGAGGGGCGCACAACTTTTTTCGTGACGATTCTGGGCTCCCCCTCCGAGTACTTAAGTCCTGAGCGCTGGTCACGGGGTACACACGCCGACCGAGCAACTCACTTCTTTGAAAATGAGTTACCAGAACTGGAAGGCCGACAGCCGCGTTAACGGAAGAGGCGAGAGGAAGGGAACTAAAGTCCCCCGACCGCGGAGACCGCGGCGGCCTTCCCGGGGCCCGCCCGCGCACGTCTGGGGGCGTCCGGGAACCCCGCGCGACGTCCCGGGCGGACGAGGGCGCGCCCCGCGGGGCCGTGCTTCTAGCCCCGGGCGGCTCCCAACCGCCGCCCGCCGCCCCCCGCCCCCCGCCCCCCGGCCGCAGCCCGGCCGCGAGCGACGTACCCGAAGGCAGCTCCGGATCCGCGGGGCTCATCTCAGCCCAGCACCCGGCCTGCAAGACGAGGACGAGCAGAAGGAGCAGGGCCATGCTGCCCGGAGCCGCCTCGGGGTGCGGCCCTCAGAGAATGCGGCGTCCAGCCTGCAGCCGGGGCCTCGCGTCACTTCCGGACCAGCGGACCAGCGCTCCGAGGAGAGGTCCGGCGCGCTCGCAGCGCGGAGCCCGAGTGGGGATTGGGGGTGGCGGGGGGAGGCGGGCGGGGGCGGGGGCGGGGGCGGGGGCCGGACGGGGAGGCGGGGCCACGGCGGAGGAGGCGGGGCCACGGCGGAGGAGGCGGGGCCACGGCGGAGGAGGCGGGGCCACGGCGGGGACGCCGGGCGCTGACCCGGCAGCGGGACAGGGCGGGGGCGGAGTCAAGGTCAGGAGGTGGAGTCACGGCGAGGAGGCGGGGCCAGAGCCGTGAGGCGGAACCCGAGCGCGAGCCCGAGGCAGGAGGCGGGGAACCCGGACGTGAGAGGGACTTCAGGGCAGCGAGTCCCCAGCCGGGCGTTGGCTGGGAGGGCAGACTAGGGCGAGGAGGCCAAGATGGGCCGGCTCCAAGGACTCACAGCGTTAAGGGCGTCAGAGTCTGTGGTCGTGACGAGGGCTCGCAGGTTCTGAGGAACTTGGATCCAAAGGCTCCGTTCTTTCCATCTGGCACCACCTTCCGAGATCCTTCTTCCCGTTTCTGCAGTGTCCTGGGGTTGCAGGACTTTTCCTGAGGCCACAGCCCAGCCACAGTCCGTACTTGAACGCTGCTGGACTTCGCCATCAAGGCGTCTGGAAGTCTGAGAGTTCAGAACAGAGCCCTAAATGCCTCTCTAACCCCTGCATTTGTATTTGAGGAAACTAAAGCTTCAGTGGTGAAACGGTGTGTGCAGACCTCTACGGCCTGCATCCAACTGGCTTGGCCAAGAACTGCTTCATCCTTGGACGAAAAGCCACTTGTGTTATTTTTTTCAGCACTTAAACATCACGTAGCGATTTATTAAGCAGCCTGTCATCCCTGGATCCGCCCTCCTTCCTCCCTGCCCATATTACCCTGCATTTCTCACATCCCTCTTCCGCCAGATGGCCTCTGCCTTCCCAGTACCTTCCAGGCTCGTGCTCAGATATGCACGTGGCTAACTACCTCACTGCTTCAGATACCTTGTTACCATGGCTCTTCGCAGAAATTTGAAACCACAACCCGCCTTCTCATCTTACCTTACCCTGTCCTCACTTTTTTTCATGGCTCTTACCACCTTCCCCCACACCCTCTGATACACGTATCAATGCTTATTTCCTCCGCCTTTTGAAATGTAAGCTCCATTACCCTGAAATCTTTGGCATCTCGTTGGTATTTGTTGAATAAAAGAATGCATGATTGCGCTGGCATTAGGCACAATGTTAGAAAAACTTTTGAGATGCTGTACAAAATAGGAATTATTAACAGGATCATTTCATTCATATTAGTAAATCTCTAAGCTCCATACCTCTGAAACTTCAGTGAACATATGAACTACTTGAGGATCTTGTGCAGATTCTAGTTCAATTCGTCTGATTCAGTTGGGCCTTGAGATTCTGCATATATATATATATATATATATATATAATATAGAGAGAATGCCAGTCCCACTGGCTCTAATAGGAATGCTTTACCTCTATTAGAGGGGAATACTTTGGTATTATGATACCCACTGTGTTAGTCTGTTCAGGCTGCTTTAACAAAATACCACCAACTCATAAGTAACAAAATTTCATTTCTCACAGTGTGGAGGCTTGAAGTCAAAGATCAAAGTGCCAGCATTATCACATGACAGCTGTCTTCTGGGTTGGAGACTTCTGGTTGTACTCTCACTTGATGGGAAAGGGAGAGAGCTCTCTGGAGCCTCTTTTATAAGGGCGCTGATCCCATTCATGAGGTTTCCGTCATTACTTAAACATCCCCCAAAGTGCACATTTCCTAATACCATTCCCTTTGGGAGTTAAAATTCCAGCATATGAATTTAGGGGGGTCACAAACATTCAAACAATAGCACTCACTATATGAAAGGCACCTAGTCATTGCAAGAATGTAAGGATGAACAAGAACTGGTCTTTGCAGGAGTAGGACAAAACATAATACTCAATTTGATTCAGTAAGAATTTTTTAGTAACCATCACAGGTTGAATCACCCATGAAGTAGACTCTGCAGGGAAGCTTAGTATGCAAGACATGCTGTTGTGTACTCTTGGGATCAACCTCTGTGAAAAGGAGGTGGAGGAAACAGGAGTGAGCAGAGGGAGAAGTTGATCTGTGACATCATCCTAACAAAGTCCTAACAAAGTCTTCAGCTGACCCCTTGGAGCTGGGATAGCCTTTTAGAGTTATCATGAGTGGATATGAGTGGCTGACCCTTCCACTCCCAACACTGATTGGTCTTTTGGATACAAACAGCCCCTGGAAGGGGCTTGTCCATTTTTTTAACTGAGGCATTATCCAAAGAATGGTGATAGTTAAGGGTTTTTATCAGCAGTACTCCCAACAGCAAGGGGGAGATGGGTCTAAATCTTCTGTTCTTAAAGGGGGTATGGGCAGAACTTCCCAATCAGCATCCATGACATTTCTTTCTGAGGCACCTTGCAAGTCACTTGGAGACTAAGGATATTTATTAATTCACTATTATTGAGTTCCGCTATGTATATATAACCCTGTTACACACTGAGTAACATTCAGACCTGAATGAGAGAGATATCGCCCCTGCCTTCATGGTGCTTATAGTCTATGAGGGATTAAACAAGCGTCAAACTATTACATAAATAAATACTGGACTTGTGGTAAATCATTATCAAGGAGAACAATCGATTTATAGAGGAATAAACAAATTTCATTTAGTCTAAGTGTTTTTTTTTTAAGGATTTTATTTATTCATGAGAGACACATAGAGAAAGGCAGAGACATTGGCAGAAGGAGAAGCAGGCTCCCCAAGGGACCCCAGGATCACACCCTGAGCGGAAGGCAGACATTCAACCACTGAGCCACCCAGGTGTCCCAGTTTAATCTAAGTTTTAAGGAAATTCTTTCTTGGAGCAGTTACAGTTGTGATATTACCTGAAAGATAAGAGGAGATTAGTCTAGACAAAACTGAGGGATTGGGGCTCACAAGATAGTAAGAGAGGTAGGAGAATGATCAATAAAATATATTTTAAACTTCAATATATATATCTTAGCCACACAGAAGGCAAATGAGCAGTGGCTGTTGACTTGGTAAAAATCTTGTGCCTAAGGGCTGGAGAATATCCAAGTGTATGTTGGTCCCCCTATATCCTTTGGTGAGTTTTTAAAACCAAAAAACCAATGTAGAGCAAGGGGTGGGTAATTCCGAAGCCACATATAAACTGAAGTGTCACTTGGGAGCTAAGGCTTCATTCTGTAGGCCATATTCAACACAAGAAATTAATAAGCCAAGCAAAATAATTTAAAATATTCGACAATGTTCTAATGAGAACAGAGACTGTGTAGTACAAACTATGCACTTTTGGCTCTTGGCACCCTGTATTTCCTTCCTTTTTTCTCTAGAACAGAAATGTCCATTTTCCTTTAAAAGCAACAGATTGAAAAGTCTGCAGCTAAAGCATTTAGTTCTGAATCCTAATTATTCTATAAATTATAACTAACACTCCCCTACCCTCTCACACTTTACTCATGTCTCTACACTGCCTCTTATGTTTTCACCATAGCACTTATTACCATCTCTATGTAGATACATATATATGATATGCATATACATATATATATCCACAAATATATAACTAAAATGTATATCTAAAGTTGTGATAATCGTTACCAAAGAGAACAATGAAGCTATTGGAGCATAAATTCTATTTCTCTCCTTATTTTCTTCACTGCCATATCTCCCCTGTACCTAGACAAGCACCTGTCATTGCACTAATATCTTTTGAATAAATAAATGAATGAACAAAGCAAGCTTGTGAATAGATGTGCGAGTGTGGCAGATACAGTTAAATTTATGGTTGATTAAGCTATAATTGGGTCACTGATGAGAATTTAGACGTTTGTTTTTCATACTGGTACTAAAGTACTTTTAGTTCTTACTCTGCACACAGCCCCCTTCCAAGGAAAGCTGTTGTGCTGACATCTGCTCATATTGGATCAAACTGTGACTCAAAGATAGTTATCTGTAGACTGCAAAGTCTTTTGGTAGATGGCTTGTCTTACAGCATTGCCTAAGATAGATGCCACACACAAGATGTTAACTGTGGCAGACATTGTTCACTAAGCTGGCTGCTAATAACTTTTCTCAGTATCCTTCTGTCTTGCTGCCTTCCCACCATCGAGGCTATCAAAGCTCAATACTCACTTTCTGAACCTTCACAGCAGCTATGTGTTGTCATCTGACATAGTTCTGGTCAATAAGACATAAGCAGAAGTCTGTGTATGTGAGAGCATGTGATAGATCCAACAGGAGAACTTGCTAGACTTGACCCTCCCCCAATCTTTCTGCCTTGAATGTAGACACACTATACAGCAGTCACCTTGCAACCATGAGGCAACATGATGGAGGATAAGAAGCCAACGACTAAAAATGGAAGACTAGAATGATAGAAAGCTGAGAAGTCGATGGAAGCATTGAGCAGTTGAATGCTTGCAATGTTTGCAATCACCTACATCTGACTCTTGTTATAGGAGAAAAAATAAAACCTTATTGATTTAAGCTACTGCCAGTTTGGTTTTCTGCTCATTGACCTGAAATTCTTTCTCCGTCCCTCTCAGACCAACCTAAATCTCTTTCAGAGAGCTGGAATCTGCACCACAATGTGAGGGAGAATGTTTGGGGTTGAGCAGGAAAGTAAAAAAAAAAAAAAAAAAAAAAAAAAAAAGCAACAAACTCAAAGACAGAAAGTGGAACTTGAGAAAACTAAGCAAAGAAGATCCTTCAGTGAGGGGATACCAAGAGGCCCCAGTCTGAGGGCAGCAGCAGCAGCAGCAGCAGCCAGACGCTCACTAGCACAGCTGTGTGCCCTGAACGCTGCTCTCTCACTATGGCCCCTGAAAACTGGCTCATGGGTAACTGTTTCCTTCTCTGACTTTCCTGCACATCTTCACTCAAATCCCTTGTCACTAAAGGTAATCTGAGTGTCTCTGTCCAATCCCAGGAGCCTGGGATCCTGACCTGAGCCGAAGGCAGATGCTTCACGACTGAGCCACACAAGCACC